CAAAGAAAATCTTACTGCTAACTGCAGCATGGCGAGCGCGAGTGACGACGCATGCAGCAGCCGAAATACTATAAGCAACGCAGCAACCCCTCAACGTTATATTATATTAAATATTTTAAAAAAAAATAATAAAATTAATTTATTAACATTATTTAAAATATTAAAACTCAACTCTAAATAAATACTCACCCTCGACGTCCTGTGTTTTCTCCTGGTTCCCCCCAGCTCGCTCCTGCGGTGAGACAGAGCTGAGCCCCCCGCGGCTATCTTTTTGTTTTTTGTTTATACACAGCTACACCACCAGTACAAAGCATTTACTTATAAGGATATTCATGCGCATGCATATACAAAAGCTCGCAGTACGTAGCACCCACTGAGCCAGCCACAGCTGCAGCAGAGCCTGCCTGACGGTAGCACTATAACCAAACAAAAAATATATCAGCAGTTGTTTATAGAGATAGAGCGGGCAATGGGGGAAGCTTCGCTGTGCTAGCTAGCAGCCTGGCTAGCATGGCTAGCTGCAGCGACGTGCACTGCAACTCCTCTCAGGCTGCTTCCAACCCAGGAACACCAGGCTCTGAGCTCAGCATGCGTGGAGAGGGGGGGGACAGGTCAGCGGCGTCTGGGAAACTCTTCTCTTTTTCTTTGGCTTCATTACAGCTCGCTACACTCCTTGGACAAGGCCGAGATGCTTGCCCTATAGAAACCCTCTCTGCGTATACGAGCAAACAAAAGCTGAAGAGGTATTTATAGCCGTCTACGATATTTGTTTGTGCGTAAAAAGGAGGCTCGGCTATGTCTGCATAGAGGGTTAACCTCCGGAAGATGTAGCACTGAGGCTTGGTGTGTCTGAATTCTGTACTTGTACTTCTACTTGAGTGCTGGCTGGCTGGTGAGGGGCCTCAAAGTGTTGAAAATTTTCTCTGCTTCTCGCGTGCTGCATTCTCCGCCTGATCCTGAAGGGTATCTGCCTCTTTACAACAGAAAAAGACCACATAGTTCGATATAAAACGCAAATGAAAAGATATATGTGACTGAACTCGTTGCTGGTAACGGAGGAGCGTTGGGGGCTGAAATGTGCTACGAACGCCTCGCAACAGAGAGTGGAGCAGCGCAGGAAACGGCGCCGATTCGATACACTGGATATACACCCAGTGAGTTGCCGGGCTTGCTGGATGCTCCTTCTCATTAAGTGCATCTGAAAGCTTTGCCTTCAGCTATTCTCACTTCTGCTGTTCGTAGGGTGTTAGTGTACTTTTTGTGAGGCCGTCACGGGCTGCGTGCATTTCTCCTGCGCGTCCTGCAGAGTATCTCGTAGCTATTTTTTCTTGGGACCCTTCTCCACTCCCCCTACCGAGAAGGGCTGCAACCCTGATTGGGAATGCTGAGGGGTGCACCCTCTTTTTGAGTGCAAAAGCGAAATGAAGCTGGGTGTTTTATGCATGCACCTCGCCTCCGTACTGTATTCTCTTTGCCTTTGGTTGAAGTGACCCCACAAGGGCGT